GTGTGCAGGTGTGTGTGTCAGTGCAGGTGTTGGTGAGGGTGCTTGTGTGGGTGCTGGCATGGCAGGAGCGGGTGCAGGTGCGAGGGCAGATGAGGAAACAGTGGGTGCTGGTGTGGGGACAGGTGCAAGTGTGAGTGAGGGTGTGAGCACAGGGGGAGCAGGTGTAGATGTGTGTGCAGGGGCAGAGGCAGGTGCAGGGGAGCAGATGCGGGCGTACGAGGGCGCGTGAGGCCCTGATGGTGGCCGGTGCCTTGCAGGAGCCTGAGCGGCAGTACCTGCACATCGGCACCATGGTGGAGTTCGCCTTCGCGCTGGTGGCCAAACTGGAGGCCATCAACAAGCACTCTTTCAATGACTTCAAGCTGCGAGTTGGTGAGTGCAGCTGGGCAGTTGGCAGTGAGGGGCCTGGGTCAGGCGGGGGAGGGAGGGGCGGTGGTAAGGGGGAGGTGCGTGGCCTAGGTCTGGCTGGGGAGGAGGGGCGTGGCCTGTGACTGGCTGGAAGAGGGAGTGAGCGTGACCTTAGGACTGCTGGTTCCACTGGCAAGTGGATGGACTGAGGTTGGGATGGGGGAGGGGACTGTAGGCCCTCCTGGCTGGTGAAGCAGAACAATACATGGCCTCCTGGAAGCAGGGCAGGTGCCCCCCTTAGGCAGGTTTGCAGAAACTAGGAAAAGTCACCTCTGGGTGGTTAGACTCTTGGAGCCTGGTGATGCAGTGGGTGAAGGCTGGACTGCTAACGAGGTTGGCAGTTTGACCCCAGCAAGGACAGGCTGACAGCCTCGGAAGCCCACAGAGGCTACACGGCGGCTTTGAGTCGGGAAGCCAGCAGGCTGTGTGAATGCGGGCACTGGAGTGTCCAGTGGGCAGAGCTGGTCTCGGCCTTCTGAAGTGCAGGCCGCTGGCCCGAGGCTGCCAGCAGGCCTGGTACCCATCACTAGTCCACAGACAGAATCCGCATCCTTCACTGACCAGGGACTGACGCATGCGCACACTGCCCAGTTCACACCCAACCAGTGAGAGCGGTGGACCCGGAGACCACTACAGGGTCACCAGCCATATCGTGTCCCAAGTCCTGAAACTCAGTTCATCCAAATCTGAGAAGACCCCAGCTTTCTATAAAAGGGGGTGAGGATGGGGGAGAAAGGACCTTTGTTGAAAATAGTAAATAAACAGAAGTCTGGATTTCTAATATGGTGTGAATGAGGAAGTGCTCCCGCGGGCTCCAATTCCCACCTGTGTGGTCCACCTCCACATAAGACAGGTGTGACCAGCCACGCAGTCACTGGGCGTGGCTGCAGGGGCGTCCTCAGCTGCCCTGAGTGACCCCTGAAGGACCAGGTGGAGCAGATAGGTGGCCAAGGCAATTACCCACTGGGTGCTGGTTGCAAGGACCAAGGTCATTGCCCCAAGGATGAAGTTCAGAGGTTCAGGAAGGCGGAGGGATGAAAACATGAGCGAAGGTCATGGGACAGGGATTTGCACTCCAAGGATTGGGGGGAAGGGGATTTGTTCACTGTGGGGTAGGGTGGGAGGGGGGATTCACACACTGAGGGGGTGAGGGGAGTTTGCACACTGAGGGGGATGGGGGAGGGATTTGCACTCAGGGGTAGCAGGGAGAGGAGATCTGCACACTGAGGGGTGGGGGAGGGAGATTTTCACTCTGAGTGGTGGCAGGGGGAGGAGGATTTGCACTGAGGGGTGGGGGAGGGGGATTTGCACACTGGGGCAGCAGTGGACTTGTCGGATCAGGAGGAGGAGGAACTGTGGAGGGTAAAACTGATGCGCTCTGTGCTTACCTACCTCAGTCACAGTAGAACAACGGTTCTCAACCTTGTGAATGCCGCAACCCTTTCATGTGGTGGTGACCCCCCCAACCATAACATTAGTTTGGTTGCTACTTCCTCACTGTCATTTTGCTACTGTTATGAATCAGGCAACTCCTGTGAAAGGGGTCATTTGACCCCCAAAGGGATTGCGACCCACAGGTTGAGAACTGCTAGTGTAGACCGTCAAAGAGAGTATGTCGCCCCCTGCTGCCTGGGGTGAGTTAGAAGGCACATGCAGGGGGCAGGGATCAGACAAACGCTCCAGGGGAGGGTCCACTCAGGAGGGAAGGTGGGATGGACAGTGGCACCTTGTGGACACTGGCCAGGTCACTGGATGGTGTGTGCACCCTGCTGGGCAGATTCTCAACAGCCACCACAAAGGACCCAGGGCAAATGATACGGGATTGATAGATCGGTGAACCGATGTGCTGATTGAAACTCCTGCATGTATGGCTGCTGCCTGCTACTCCTGCTGACCCAGGTGTGATGTGTGGCAGGTATCAACCACGGCCCGGTCATCGCTGGCGTGATTGGTGCACAGAAGCCTCAGTATGACATTTGGGGCAACACCGTCAACGTGGCCAGCCGTATGGACAGCACTGGGGTCCTGGACAAGATACAGGTAGTGCCAAAAGGAGAGGCCAGAGTCCGGCTGGTTTGGTGTGTTAGGGGGCTAGTGAGTCTTGGGGGCTTATGTGAGACATGGTTGAGAACAGGGGAATATGTATTTCCTATGTCCATGCGCTCAGGGCAGTCACGTCCACGATTGTGGGCATCTGACTTGTGACCCACACAGGACACGCACAGCCTTGGGGTCTTTGAGGGGGCAGTGTTGCCAGGAGAAAGGGGGGTTCAGCTCTGGGATGCTGTCTACACACCCCTTCCCCATCTCTTCTATTCACTAGGGGAACTGGTGACCCCTAGCTGCATGCCCTGAGAGTGGGTCAGCCATTGTAGCCCCCCGCCTGCCCATGCCCAGTGGCGCCAGCTGTGGGGCTCGTTGCCGGAGATTGCTGCCCTCTCTCTGAGCTGGGACATCCAAACCCTCTGTCTGGAAGCGACAGGTGTGTCCTCCCAAAGGCCACACTCCCCCCTGCAGCCCAGCCAGTGCTCTGTGTCACAGCCGCTCACCAGGAGCGGCATACATAAGACCCACCCCGGTTGAGTCCACTGGGACTCCTAGGGACCCTCCAGGGCAGAGGAGCACACCCTTGGGTGTCCTTACAGGAGCAAACAGCCTCATCTTTCTCCCAGAGAGCGGCTGGTGTGCTTCCACTACTGCCTGGTGCCTGACCCACTGCATCACCAGGGCACCAGGCCCGGGCGTTGCATGTGTTTCCCAGCTGGGCTGGGCTCACGTGCCTGGGCTAACAGTCAGCTGGTCAGGGCGCTTTCCCCATTGGGGAGTTCAAGCACCCCCATGGGCACCGGGGCAGAAAGCATGTCGGCTTCTGTGCCCTGGACCCCGCCGCTTCGGATGGGGCGGTATTAGCGCAGGTGCTGTGTTTGATAGCGGAGCCCCTGTGCCACGCGGTGGGTCACCAGGTGGGCTGCTAACCACAAGGTCAGCAGTTTGAAGCCACCAGCTGCCCTGAGGGAGAAAGAAGAAGCGTTCTACTCCTGTAAAGAGTGACAGTCTGGGAAGCCCACGGGGGCAGTTCCGCCCTGTCCTCGAGGATCGAGTCGGAGTGGACATCCTCAGCATGCACCCAGGCTGTGGGCAGTAGCCATTCAGTCCGGTCCTGCACCGGCCCCACAGCCAGGAGCTCCAGCAGCGTTTCCTTGGCTGACTCTTCAGGCCTTTCTCCCTCGCCTGTCGGGGGGCTTTCTGAGCAGCCTTGTGGGCACCCTGGCAGCACTCAGGCATGGGCAGGCGGAGGCTGTGCACCCAGGGCACCAGAGGTGAGTGCTGATAGCCTCCTAACCACATTCTCGTCTCTCATGTGCCCCTCAGGTGACCGAGGAGACCAGCCTGGCCCTGCAGACCCTGGGCTACACCTGCTCCTGCCGCGGGGTCATCAATGTCAAGGGCAAGGGGGATCTGAAGACATACTTTGTGGCCACAGACATGTCCCGGTCACTCTCCCAGAGCTACATGGCCTCCTGAAGGGCCTGGCCACCTGGCCGCACGACACTGCCCGGGGCGGTGCCCACGCTTTCCAACTGCGACCCTGCCCTCACCCCAGTCCATGCTCTATGACCTGCAGGCCGCAGACTGCCCCCAGGCTGGCTGTCTGCTCTGTGCTTCCCTGCCAGCGAGCAGGTGGGTGAGCGGAAGGGGTGGCTCGCCACCTGCTGCCCAGGATGGACGCCGCCGGAAGAGGTGAAACCAACTCAAATTCTTAAGGCAATAAAACTAGGGGGTGTACATTCTCTTCTGGTGCATGGTTATTTCCCGGAACCCACGGTAGCTCGCCAACTGCATCCGCTAGTGCGATACTCAACATGATGTTTGTGCGCCGGCCACGGGGGCGGCCTGCATCCCTCCTGTGTCCCGTCAGCCTTACCCACCCCCCGCCCCCCTTTGTCTCATGCCAGCAGCACGTCACCACCCTCAGTTTCACCACAGGGTACCGTCCTGTCCCAGGTGCCTCTGCTGTTTTGATGCCATTGTCTTTTGTAAGGTAAACCCATTAAACGTTTTCTGTACTTTGGTTGGGCATCTGTGTCATTTCTCGGTGCCCCACAGCCTGCATGCCTGATTCCCCTGGAGATGTGGCAGCGGGCACGTGGGGAGCAGGCAGGATGGACTTCCCAGAGTTGCTGGTAGTTGGACAGATGGACAGAGTTGGCAGCCCAGGCAATGCCCTTGGAGGCAGGGCCCTTGGAAGAAAGAGGAGGCTGGCCAAGGTGTCGCCACCTCTAGAGGGCTTTGTCAGGGGACACTTGCATGTACGAAGGTTATCTTCTCCCAGGACCTCCACTCTGCCCAGTAGGCTGTGTCCAGGGACACTGCCAAGCTTGTACGTACACACACACACACAGTGAAAACCTGCCACCACCAAGTCCGAGCTCACACCGACACCCTGCCTGATACATCGGAGGAGTTGGAGCCCAAGTTCATTCTGTTTTGGAGAGAAGACTTCAAGATTCTGATCGTGCCAATCCAGCTCTGACTTGCTGGGTTTCCTTAAACCCGTGGCTCTTGTGTGAGGTGCCGAGTCAGCACCAGCGCACAGCAATCCCAGGGACAAGAGAGCAGCACAGTGCTCAGCCCGGCACCATCCACACCATCCCGTGTTAGGGCTGCACCCAGTTCTGCGATCTTGCCCCAGTGGGTGAACAACAGAAACCCTCTGAGCCATCGAATGTCTAAAAACAAAGCTGCTGGTGCAAGGCTGCCAGTCACCTTGATGTCGCTTTGCACTCTGAGCGGACATGGTGGTTGCGCTGACGGTGGTGGTGGTAGGTGTGATGGTGGAGGCGATGCTGGTGGTAGATGTGGTGGTGCTGATGGTGATGGTGGTAGTGGAGGTGGCAGTAATGGCGGAGGTGATAATGGAGGTGGTGGGGGTGGCAGTGATGGTGGTGGTAATAATAGTGATATTGCAGGTGATATCAGAGTGCAGGTGACAGGCTGTAGAGGCAGTGGATGCAGTGGAGACGATGATGAACTGGTGGAGGTGGCAGACGTAGTGGAGGTGTAGGGCTCGTGGAGGTGATGAGGTCATGGAGGTGGAGGTAGAGGTGGAGGTGGCAGACGGAGGAGGGCATGGTGATGCAGCTCGGAGAGGGCTGTCCTAGTTGCGGTGGGTTCTGCCCTGGTGCTGTGATCTTGTAGATCATGCAGCAGACTGGCCCTGCTTTGGGGTGTCCCCCACCCCCAGCCTGTGGGCCTGCTAAGCGCTCCTTGTCCTTGGGCCTGAGTTCCCCAAGACCTGTTCTCTGCCCCGCCCAGCCAGGCACCCTTTCCCAGGGCCCTGTGGTTCCCTGTTGGCTGCATTCCCCTGACTGTCCACCAGTTGGCAGTGTCAGGGCCTCCCGCTGGAGCCAGCAGCTGTTTGGTTCCACTTCCCACCAGCAAGAAGACTGGCAGCTGCCCCCCGGGGCATCCTGGGACTGACAGTGTCCATCCTGGCCACTGCCCATATCACTGTCCACCCACTTCTGGGTGGGCCACCAAGCTCTCCACCGGATGCGCTGGACTTGGTTCCCCAACACTGCCTCCCTCGCCCACCTGGCTCACTGAGCAGCACCCTTTCAGGACCTGCATCAGCAAGCCCCGTGTCACCGCAGGCCCTCACAGTGGCATTGGACCATAGGCCTCCAGCGCTTGGAGCTGACCACTTCAGGTGGACCCAGCCTCTAGCCCACACCTGTGAGCCAGGTGAGTGGAGGTTTGGGGCCTCCTGTTTGCTCCTGGGCCTTAGCCAGCTGGAGACCCGGGGCCGGAGCCCATCCTCCTGCATTTGCCAACTGAGGAAGCCAAGGTGAGGGGCTGCTGAGTGGAGACAAGGCCCCCAGCATGGTGGGTAGCCTGGGGTCCGACCTGTGACCTGCAGGGGTTTAGTGGCTGGCTTTCAGAACTGGATGGCCATGCCTGTCTTCCTCCACTGTCTAAGTCGGATGCCCCCCAGCCCTGTCCTAGCTGCCTCTCAGCAGCATGCCCACCTCTGCAGACAGGTGGATGGGGAGCCCTGGGAACCCCGCCATCGAGCCGCACTCCAGGCCCCCATGGGTTCCTGGGCTGAGACTCGTATGAAAGCAGGCAGCCGGCTTCCTCCGCAGTGGCTGGCACATCCAACTTTCAGCTAGCAACTCCGCCCCCACGCCACTGGTCGGCCAGGCAAAGCCTGTCCCAGAAGCCCCTTGACCCCTGACAGGGAGCCTGACTTCTCCAACCACAATGTCTGAGTCTGCACCCCTTGCAGACACCCCTCAGAGACGTGCAGGGCTTGTCCCAGCCCCGCTGACTGCCCCCTGCGCGCTCAGCTATGGGGCGCTGCTCAGGAGCATAGCTGACCGCTGGTGTGTGTGTGAGGGGAGCGGTCCTCTGAGTCGCTGTTTCACTCCATGCCAGCCTTTCAGGTGGCTGCCTCTTGGTGCCTGTGTGCCAAGCCACGTGCCTCAGGCCAGAACTGTGCTCCAAGGGGCACTGAGAGGTGGCCCCATCGCGGCTCCTCTTGGTGGACTCACCGCACCAGCGTTTCAGTTAGCAGCTGAGTGCGTCACCACTGCACCCCAGGGACGCCCCTCTCATAGCCGCTGAAACCCTCCCCTTCCCCCTCTGCCTGTCCCCTGAAACCCTTCCTCCCCCAGTGGCTTCTTCGAAGTACTTTCCTGAGGGCCTTGGAGCTTGAGCATGAAGTCGCATCGGCTGAAATGCCTGGGCTCCTGTGGGTTTGCGGCACACACTTCCAGACGAAGGCATTTCCTAGGTTTCCTGGGAATTGAGTTGGAGAAGGAGGGGCCATGATATTGCCCCTGGCCCCTGTTGGGGTTTTGTCCACCTAGTGTTTACGGCACAAAGTCCCCTGGGCATTTTGGGGGCTCGTCGCTGTTTGTCTCAAAACAGGAAAGGCAGCTCCGGCAGAGCAGGTGCTCACAGACCAAGGGAAAGGGCTTCTTCGGGCACCCAGCGGGATGTGGTGACTCAGGTTCAGCCGGAGCTGTGCAGTGTCTGCCCGCCCACAACAGGCCTGTTGGAACTGACCCTGGCACCCATTAGCCCCCCTGCTGCCGACGGGCAATTAAATCACAACTCAGGAAGGTTGGTTTCTTCTAAGGGTTCAGTACATTCAAAGTGCGTGCCACCTCCCCACACCCCAAGGGTTTTCAAACAGCCTGCAAAGCAGCCATTTCCAGCGGGCAGACAGGGTGGGTTTGTGTGCAACTGTCTGGGAGTTGGGGTCTTGAGGGGTCGTGTGCACCTGCTGCTCATGTATCACGTCGACTGTGGGTCACCTGAGGCACCACTGGCCTCCGAGGGCCCAGGAGAGTCCAGGGCTGCAGCCCTCTTTGGGCAGAACGCTCTCATTGCCACTCTGAGCTGCAGGGGACAGCATTGTGGTATCCAGAGTCAGAGTCCAGGGCACCCAAGGGGCGACAGCCTTCTTGCAGACCTGGGCAGAGTGAGGATCAGGGAAAGCTGGGCAGTCAGAGACCTGCCAAGTCCAGTCTGCGCTGGGCACCTGTCTCCCAGAGTAGGGGCCAGGTCCCGCCTGAGAGGGCCATGTCCTGAAGGTACGGATGGAGCTGTGGCATGCCAGCCTGAGCCTTATTGCTCTCGCGCTGCGGCTCAACTTCACCAGCCCTGCACCGGCACAAGCTGTCCCCGTGCCATGCTTGCTGATGATCGACCCTAGGGAGGTGGCCTTCCCGGGCCTGGGCCAGGGCCTCTTTGTGGTGACCCCCAGACCTCCATGAGAGGCAAAGGTGCCCCTCATGGCCCCCGGGGTCCCCCGACATGCTTCAGGCTGGGGAGATGTGCCCAAAGCCGGGATCCTTGAAGCTGGGGATGTTGTTCTTGCGGTAGAAGTCGGCCTGCACGTGGTTGGCACGCCCGTGGTCGCGGTTCAGGGGTTCCACCGGTAGGTGGATGCGCTTCCCATAAATAGAGGATGTCCGCACGCCCACTGGCCGCTCCCGCTCCTGTGGGGACATGCATGCATCACAGCACACAGCACATGGCACACACGGGGGCACAGACAGGCACAGACATAGGGCACACACATGGGGCACATGAGGAACAAGGCTTGCCTACCAGGGTTCACCTTGCCCTGCAGCCGGGGGTCAGGGCTTGGCTGTAAGGAGCGCACCAGTTGGAGTCACCTGGGCACCTGCTTACCTGAGGGGACTGTTGGCCCCTTCCATCTACTGGCCAGACAACCAGGACATCCCCAAGCCCACTGCTCTAGAGAGACCCTTTCAATCATTACAGGAGCAGACAGCCTCGTCTTGCTCCTGTAGAGCCACTGGGGGTTTGAACCCCAGTTTTCTGGGTCTAACCCTTACTAAAGAGCCAATTGCTCATCTGTCAGTTCCGACTAATGTGGGCCTCAGCTTGTCGGAGACAGCTGCAGACCACACTGTTTTCTGGCCTGGGACTTCCAGGGGCCCTTAGCCAAACCTTTCCCCCGGCACTGTTGGGGGCTCAGGGCCCTGCCCAGGGCCTGCCTGCGTAAACGCTTGCCCCTCGCACCTCCTCCTGCACGTGCAGCCCCAAGTTCTTAGCGTGCTGCCGGTCGTCGCGGTGTGAAGCCTGGTTGTAGCCGAGGTCCCGATTGAAAACACAGTCGTAGAGTGAGACGATTCCTGTCTGGGAGCAGGGAAGGGGCACTGCTCAGTAGCCAGCTGTTCAAGCCCACCAGTGGCTCCGCAAGAGAAAGGAGAGGCTGGCTGCTCCCACGGGGACTGACCCCTTCAGAAACCCAGGGGACTGTCTACTCTGTCCTAACGAGAATGGTGGGACTTGGTCTCACTCACTTTGGAGAGGCCAGTCCCTGGAGAAGGACATCATGCTTGGTGAAGTGGAGGGGCAGTGAAATAGAGGAAGGCCCTTAAGGAGATGGATTGGCACAGTGGCTGTAGCAATGGGCCCGGGTGTAGGAACAACCGAGGATGGCGCAGGGCTGGGCATGGTTTCATTCTGTTGTGCAGCGTCGCTACGCTACGGGTCAAAGGACTCCATGGCCCCTGGTGATGGCAGCAAGCCGCTGTTCCTATGCGTGTGGCCTCTTTGGGGACGTGGGGCTTCTTTGTGATCAGTTGGTCCAGTAGGTTTGTACTAGGCGGGGCCGTGTCCTATGTGCTCCCGCGGGGCATAAGGCATTAGAGCAAAGGAGGTCAGTGGAGATCGCCTTGCCCTGGCGGAAGAAGCAGCCGAGATCTTTGGGGTTCGGGCCCCCACCCTTAGCTTGCCCTGGCACCAGTAGCAAGTGGGCTTTGGGGGTGCAATACCTCACCACTTCCCGGGGGCAGGGTCTCCCAGCCCTTTGGCGTGCAGCCCCCCACCTTGCCCTGGCGGTAGTAATAGCTGTGCTCCTTGGGGTCCAGGCGGCGCGGTGGGATGTAGCTGAAGGCGGACAGCGCCGAGCAGGGCAGCTGGCGCGGCAGTCCCCGCAGCCTGGCAGCGGTGATCTCCTCCTCCTCTTCCTCCTCCGGGAGCCACGAGCCTGCCGCTGCTGGCGCCGCTGCCTCAGCCTCCTGCATGTTCTGCCTGCCTCTGGCCCACCGCTCGCGTCCTCCGGTTGCTCAGGCAACCTAGAGGTTCACATTCGAGGGGCAGGCGGGGCCAGGGGAGGAGGCGTGGCAGCTGCAACCAGAGTGCGGGGCGGGGCCAGGGAGAGGCATCTGCAGGCCGGACCAGTGGGAGGGACAGCAGCCGATCTGGGGCGGGGTTCCGAGGGGTAGGGAGACGCAGAGAGGTTGAAGCAACTGTAGGGGAAAGCAGGGTCACTAAGGGCGGAGCAGCAGAGGCAGCACCACGGGAGGGCGGAGGCAGGTCTGGGGCGGGGTCACAAGGGGCTTCTGCTACCTGGGGTCCTGCAGGTGGGGGACCTGGTGCTGGCCGCCCTCTTTGTTCTCCCGCCTGGATGCAGATGTTGGAGCAGCCTCTGCTTGGAGCTCTGGGCCTGACTAGGCGCTGCTGGGCCTCTGGTCCAGGCGGGGTGAGGACTTCGCCCCTCATCTGCCTTTCTCAGTACCTGTCATCACTCTACCCTGCCACCTGAAGGCAGCATCCCTCAGGAGGGTTGGGGCGCAGAGCTAGATCGGAGGGTAGGAGGGGACTGAGCACTGGGGTGGGAGGCAGCCTTGGGTGATAGAGCTCTGGCTGGGGCTGTTTGGGGCTGCAGGCAGAGTAGCCGTGGGCAGGAGGCAGTGTTAGGGCGATGTGGGTGCAACCCTAGGGTGGGGGTGGGGTCGGCGGGGGCAACGGTGCAGCCCTGGGATGGGGTAGTCAGGGCTGCAGCTTTGGCTTGAGGGGCAGCACGGGTAAGGGGCACAGCCTTAGGACGAGGGGCGTAGCCCAGGTGTGTGTGGGGCACTGCAGCCTAGGGTGGGTGCCTGCCCTGTGACCTGGGTGGAGGCTGATTAAAGGAGACAAGGGAAGGAGGGGCCTGAGAGGCTTGGTAGTAGCACCTTTCTCAGCAGCATCCTCTGCTCCCTCTGGGTCCACACTGGGAGGATGGGAGCAGAGCTAACAGGATTGTCCTTACAGCACCCCGAGCATATAGGGCAGAAGGCTGAGGTCTCACACAGGGGGTCCTGGCCCAGGTGTATCCTGAGGGTGGTGCTGCTGGCGTAAAGCACTTGGCACATCCCCTACTCCCCCACCCGCTGAGCTGTTCTGCTGCACTCCCCCACCCCAAGTGGGACCATGTGTTCCTGATCAGTAGCAGGGTCTACTCTGAGAGTTCACTGAGCTAGAGGGTCATGACCCTGCACCTGCTTGAGATGGGACTGCAGGTAAGTACCTCATCTCCCCTCTCCTGTCTTACCTGGAGAGCAGGAGGGAAGGAGGCAGGGCCCACCAACTGGCTCCTGTCCTGAAGACACCTGAGGGGCTTGGTGGCACTGGGTGGTTAGGAGCAGGCTGCTCACCACAAGGTTGCTGGTTCAAACCTGCCAGCCACTCCAGGGAGCACAAGGCAGCCCTTAGACATGCTCTCTGGCGTCGCTGTGGGTTTGGGAAGCAGGCAGATGGGCTGCAGGAGGGCAGAATACGGTGGGAGCAAGAGGGTACCTCGTTGGGTGGGTACACTGCACAAGTGACCATGTCAGCCAAGCCCCAGAGCCAAGCCCTTGTCAGGGAACCTCACACCAATGGCCATTGAGTGACTGTCCACCCATCTGCCCACACTCGTCACCTTACAGCTGGCACTGCCTTTGAATAAGCGGGCCGAGTCAGGTTAGACACGTGTGCGTGACGTGGAGGTCGTCACTAGTCCTTGTTGGCAACCACTGAGGCATGCCTGTCAGATCATGCAAGTGTGTGTGTTTGTCTGGGTGGACTAGAGAAACAAATTCATAGACATCCATATGTGTACGAGAGAGAGCTTTATATCAAAGAGTAATTATATAAGAAAACATCCCAGCCCAGATCAAGTCTAATATTAGCCCATATGTCCGATACTAGTCCATAAATTCCTCTTCAGATTCACGCAATACATTCAATGATGCTGAATGCAGGAAGATCACAGGCCAGTGGTTTGTAAGTCTTGTGGATCCAGTGGCAGTATAAGCATCTCAGCACTGGCATGGGTCTCTACGTGGCTCCTCCAGCTCCAGGGCTCTGGCTCCCTCAGACTAGCTCCATGTGGCTTGTCAACAGGAATGTCTCTCGGGAAGACAAAGCAGCATCCAGCCTCCAGTGAGCTATTTATCTCCATTCCATCTTCAAGTGAGGTCATCAAGCTGCAACCTGGTTGACAGGCTAGACTCCACCCCTTCCTCACGTTGACAGATTAGGTAACTGCCAGTGTGTATAAATGATGTTGAGGCTGGCACTGGTCCTCGATGGTGACCAAGGGTGGCAGAGTCCACATCAGATGGCATGAGTGTTAGGTTTAAAATCATGTGTGTATGACGTGAGGGTCCTATCAGTGGGTCTTTGGTGGGACCACTTGGGTCAGTGCTTGTCTAAGGGCCCATGAGGATCACGTGTGCATGTGTGATGTGGGGGTCCTGTCAGCATCAGTGATGGGGGTGGGGGAGGCCAGTGCCACAGCAGCCCCATGTCCAGGACTAGTGGGCAGCAGAACCCTATGAATGCCCAGCACGGATCCTCCTCACCTTCCTCTCCCAAGAACCTGTGACCTCAGAGGTCACTGAGACTCCCAGTGAGGGAGGCAGTCAGCCTTTCACTTAAAATCTAGATGGTGCGCCCTCCATGGGAAACAGAAGGATTTCTCTCAAGTTATCTCCCCCAAATATATGCCAGACTTAGCTGCTTGAGAATGACTGTACACTTGGAGGTCATCAGGAGTGGATTGGGGGTCATTCTCCCTGAGAGTTATCAGCTGTCTAGACCAAGCAGACACCACTGTTTATCCCACAACAAGTAGGGCCCACTCCCTTCTGATAAGGATAGTTGTCTGTTTCCTTATAGGAGACACCCGGAGAGGTCAAACCCACCCAAGGATGACCAAGATTAGGCTGCCATCATGACTCTAGGGTCTGCCCATCTTGTCACATGTATACCCCTAGACCTTCCCATTCCTATAGGCACACCCCTAGCTCATCCCTTCCTGTTACACTTATGCCTATCACAGATCCCCTTCCTACAAAATGTATGCCTATTGTACTGCCCCTTCCTGTGACGTGTGATTCTATAATCATGTCCCCCTAAAGTGATACGCTTGGTTAGCAATAAAGAAAAGAGGCTCTCTCTGGCTCTCGGGGACCTGGAGGCTCCCTGGTTCTTGGTCCCCGAGGCTACTCCTGCTCTCGTGGCCAGGTTCCCTCCTCAGGTTCCCCCCCATGAGGACCATTAAGCGGGGCTGAGGTGAGCAATGCTACCATGAATTGTGTCTGACTCCATTACTCCAATCTCTCCTCTACCTCTCATGCTCTCTATGACTTTACTATAATCCTTACTTATTATCGCTGTACAATTGCGCCTACCGGACCTGTGATGATTCGTGGGGAACCCCTCCCTCTTAACCTGACAGCCCTCTACCAGCCAACACCGCCTCAAATACCAAATCCCTTCACCCCAAACCCCACACACTGTCACCCTAGACCACACCCACCTATCACACCCCACTTCAAACCAACCCATACCCACCCCACCCAACACCCCCATACCATACTACACACCAACCCACACCACAGCCCCAAACCAAGCCATGCCCCACACACATATACCACAACCCATCACACCCTACCAATCCACACACCAAAACCAACCATACCCCACTCATTCATATACCACAACCCATCACACCCCACCAAACCCAACCATACCACACACATATACGACACCCCACCAAAACCCACACCAAACCAAACCATACCCCATGTATACCAGCACCCATCACACCCCACCAAACCACACCATATCCCACACATATACCAGCACCCATCACACCCCACCAAACCAAACCATACCGCACGCATACCAGCACCCATCACACCCCACCAACACACACCATACCCTACACATATACCAGTACCCATCTCATCCCACCAACCCACACCACACCAGGCTGCTTTCAATTTTTTGTACCTTTAATTTTTGAGCATGTCTTGTGTACTGGTGAAGGTTTATGGGTCAGTTTCGCATCACAATCCATTTCATCTCATGGTAACATCAATATAACATCACCTACCCCACTTCCTGTCTTTCCCGGCCACTCCCCCTACTTCCCTAACCCTTGAACTTTTGAGTGTAAATCGCTTTGAGTTTATTTCCAGACCTGAGGGACGGCTAGGGGACATTGTTTGGGACCTCTCCAGTCTCTAGCCAACCAGAGCCTGGTGTTTGCCCTCCAAGCAGACCTTCTAACGGACGTCTCAGCGCAGCGGGGGTGGCAGCTGCATACCATCCAGGGCTTCGGGTCTCAGGGAGCTGGAGACGTGCCTGTGGTCCATGAATCCACTCGATTGTTCCGAGACCTAAATCTGACCACTGCACCGTACTTCTAAAAAGTAACAAGAGCCCAAACGAACAAGCGATATTAACAATTGTGAGGACGGTGCAGGACGGGGCGGTGCTTCATTTCTGTTGGGCAGGCCCGCCCTGGGTCTGAGCTGACTGGACAGCACTGAACACCTGCTGCAGGGCGACTTCGGCTTAAACCTGCACCGTCTGGGGGTGGATGCCGAGCACTCACTGACTGCAGGCTGCCGCCACTGCCCTCCTTGGCCTCCTTCCCATACTGCTCGCTCCAACAAATCCCAGCAGCGGAGGCCTGCTTCCCTAACCGCACATGATGACAGTGGAAGATGCATCAGCCCCTGGAGTGCCGGCACCCAGCCAGCAGCGCTGAGACTGGAGGCTGCCTGAAGGCGCCTGCCTCCGACATGGTGGGCTCGCCTGTGTGCAGCCCACAGGCCCCTTACAGGAGCAGCAGCACACACAGGCCCTATAGCACCAGGGGTCCCGAGAGTGCCTCCTCTTTTCCAGACCCCTCCTCTCACCAGTGGGGCTCACGGCCCTGTGGGAACAGTTTGCTCTGCAAATAGTCCACCAGCTCCGGCCTTGATTTCAGCATCTCAACCTCGTGGCATGGTATCTGCAGAGGGAGGTAGACAGGGAGCAGTCCGGGCGCAGCCCTTCTTCCGGCTCCCCAGAAGGCCTGCAACTCCTGAGGGTGTAGTGCTCAGCCCAGCAAGGGCTCGGAGGCTGGGGGATGGGTCCACGGATGTGTAACGGTCCAGAGCAGACACACAGGGCTCAGCCCGGGGACAAATGCCTGCAAGCACCATCCTCCAGGAACTTGCAACAACATATCCCAGGAGGCTTCAAAAATTTGTATGGCCAAGCCATAGTTTTTAATTCCATTTTCCCATGAGCTTTTGAAGCCCTTTTGGAAAACCAATCCACAGGCAGCAGTGCCGGGAAGCAGACCTGAGCGAGTAACAACCGCAGGTGTGGAGCTGGGCTTCATATAGGTCCTGGACCAGCTGAGTGTGAGCTCAGGGAGCAGAGGGGCTAGGTGCCTGGCTGGGTGATGGAGGTGTGAGAGAGGAGGAGGGGGCAGCGAGGGGTTGGGGGTTAGTTACTGTCCTGTGTGTGGTTGGAGCCTTGGTGGCTTCCGGGCACCTGCTGACCGACGGGGCACATGTGAGGGGAGAGTGGCAAGGCCTTTGGTCGGCCAGCACAGGAAAGCCCCCCACTGCGAACTCTCCAGAGCGGGTGTCTGGCTGGGGCCTGACTCCTGGCCTGCAGTGCTAGCCGGCCACGCAGGGTGCAAGAAGTGCTCTGGGCTGGCTGGCTGTCCAGGGCCCGGGATGCTGTTGCCTGAAAGAGGAACCTGCTTTTGGAAAGCAGGGCACAGGAACAGCTAAGACCATACCTGCACGACCTCGTAGCCAAGTAGCCGCAGGTGCCGCTGCTTCATAGCTTCTTTCCCCAGCAGGTTCTTGCTGTTCACACAAAACCTCCTGGGACCATCGATGCACAGGGCCACCCTGAAACAACAACCAGGGAAACCTGCAAAACCATCAAAGTGTGCGAGAAGCTCGCTGGTCCTGTTGCCGAGCAAATCATAAAAGTGTTCATCTTTATATGTGTTATTTTTTAAGCTGTTAAAAATGAACCCAGGTAATATTGACATTTATAAAATAACGCAAGACATTCCCAAAACTCGAATGCCGAAAAGCAGCATTTGATTTCCAGATTCCTACTTGTCACCTTTTTGAGACAGCCAGCCTCTACCTTTTGTGGACGTCCTCCGCCAAGGGTCCCGGCAGCACAAAGCCCTCCTTGTCGAACCTGATCTCCACATCTGTGAGGGGAGAGGATCGTGTGACAGACGTCCTGCTGGCGGAGGACACACAGCGGGGCTCTCAGCCTTGCTTCTGAGGGTGGATCCCTCAGAGCAAACACCACCTTTCCCAAACACCTAAGCCAGTGGTTCTCAACCTTCCTCATGCGGCGACCCTTTAGTACAGTTCCTCATGTTGGGCTGACCCCCTAACCACAAAACTATTTTCGTTGCTACTTCATAACTGTCATTTTACTAGTGTTATGAATCGGGTGACCCCTGTGAAAGGGTTGTTCGACCCCTAAAGGGGTCACAACCCACAGGTTGAGAACCACTGACCTAAGCAAAAGCCAAAGTCTAAGCCTTCCAAGAAGCTCATCCCGTGGCCCCAGGGAGAGCCCCTCCCACGGCGCCACACCCTGGTCCACCTGCGGGTACCACCTGTACCCTGACCTGGAGTCCTTTGTAGACAGGAGTCCTGAGACAAAGGGGCCAGCAGTTCAAATTCACCAGCGGCTCCACGCGAAAAAGATGGAATCTCTGCAGCTACGACAGATTCACAGCACAGGCCGCGCTCCCCCCCCCCCTCCCCCCGCCCCCAACTTATTTGGCCTACCGCTCAATTTCAGAATAGAATTGCCCAGCGTCCCCAGCAACACACAGCCTTTGTACTAGAGACCAGCATCCAGGACAGAGCACAGGATCTGCTTCTGCAGTCCCCCTAGATCGTGCCAGCATCCGGGGGTGGGGGTGCTCACTCAGTTGAGACACACTGGCAGCCTCTGAGACCCTGGGACCAGTGCTCCTGTGTCTGGCGGGGCCCACAGCAGTGGGTTAATTTAACAGGAGAGGGTGAAGTGTCTGGGGCACTGGCCCGTCGCACACCGTCAGGCTGAGCCCTGGACTCTGCAGTGTTGTCCCCCCACACACTTCCTGCACAGCACCTGGGACGTGTGACAGGGGAGGGGACACTGTGGTGGGCAACACAGCCCTGGGTCATGATAGCAGGGACCCTGCTGAGAAAGACGCAGAACTACCTGAGACATGCAGGAGACACAGCCTTGCTTGTTGAACAAGGATTTCAAACACTTGCTAATGAAGATCCAAGGCTACAGCCTTCTGGACAACCCAGCAGAGGAGACCCGGGTCTCACAAGGGATCCAGACTACAGTGTCCAGTTACAACTCAACAGAGAGGAGACCCGGGTCTCACAAGTGATCCAGACTACAGTGTTCAGTTACAACTCAACAGAGAGGAGAATCAGGTCTCACAAGGGATCCAGACTACAGTGTCCAGTTACAACTCAACAGAGA